TGCAGCCAACAGCGATAATGGGAGCGCCCAGGCTCCAGCACGGCCTCCTAGGCAGAGGTGAATGTCAGACCAGCCACTTGACTCCCTTTGACAATCCTCTGAGAATTCCCGACTGCAAATGCAATCACTATTTCTTTCCATTTTTCTTTTTGTAAAATGCATCCACCTGCTGAAAGAGACAGATACTAGGCAGGGTAAAAAAAAGGCAGAAGTTAGGCGGTACTGCTTTGTTCAGCACCCCGAGAATGTTCATCCTCACCCTTGTGCGCTGGAGTTTAATGGCCTCCTTTTCTAATGAGGACACTGAGGCCAAGAAAGGAAAAGTGACTTGCCTCAAGTCATGCAGCTAGGAAGTAATGGCGTTGGGGTGTTACACCTCTGCCTATCTATTGCAAAGCCCTCCAAACCCACTTTGTTTTTCTGCTGCAGGGATGTCAGACCAAGGGCCTTTCTCTGCCCCTTCCATATAAGCAGGTAGGTGGGCATTTGCTCTACGGATGAAGCTGGACCTGCCTCTGCTGTTGTAGGAGACGTGAGGACTGAGGCTGTAGCCCTTGGACTGAGCTCTGTGGCTTTCAAGCTGTGTGGTCTTGGGCAAAGCATTCAGGTTCTCTGAGGCTCTGTCTCATCACCTGGCAAAAGCAGATAATAAATCCTTCCTGTTGCAGGCATTGAGAGGATTAAGCTGGATGAGGTGTGTGAAAGTTCTTTGTAACTCGTAATACCCTCTGCAAATATTAGTTATTATGCTGATACATTTTCCCTTAATAACCCAGAGCCTGGGATATAAAAACCCTCCATGCCCTTTATTAAGACATTTCCTAGGAGCTAAACTATTTTATGTCTTTTTGTTCTTGTATGTTGTAATGGGTTTTACACTGAAATGTCTTTAAAGCAGTTTTAAATGACTTAAAAAATAACCAACCTGTGGTTCTTGTTGATGTTTTAAAAATCCCTGGAAATGATAGTAATGACATAGCTTAATTATTGACTGCTTACTAAGTCCAGGGTGCTCTCCTAAATGCAGTAATTCACATAATGTTCACAAAGCCCCAGGAGGCTGATACTGCCACCATCCCCATCTTACAGATGAGGAAATGGAGACACACACAGATACGTAACTTGTATAAGGCCACAAGGTAGTAAGCCACAGAGCCAAGCTTCAAACACCCATAGTCTGGCTTCTAAGCACTATGCTATTTGGTTTCTCTCTAAGCTGTCCTTCCAGTTTTGCCTAAAAGGTTTTGATAACACCCCCCGGCATCTCTACAAACAGATCCCCAAGTTTTTTAATACCTCACTATTAAAATCTGGCCTAACATTTAAGAATGATAACTCAAAGAGGAAAACACAGCATAGAAAAATCTGATTTCATGCCAACGTTCAATAAACAGGGAATCTCAAAGACCTAATGTGTACTATGCCAATGCGTTGCCATTAGGTTTTATGTGGCCATTCCAGGTTTAAAACTAATGTAGAGATGAGAACACTGAGGATGAGGCAGAATGTTGGAAGTTGCTTTTTTTTTTTTTTTTTTTAAGTTCCTTTTTCCTACCCCTACCATGTAGTAGGCAGGCCTTTTAAAATCTCTTGAGCCTTGGTTTTCTCATCAGCTTGTAAATGTGCTTCTCAGGGTTACTCCACCAATAATTGCAGTTTTCATTCCCTTCCTCGGCAAAGCTTCCTTGGGGATTCCTGGCTGTCCCCAGGAAGTGTCAACAATATCATGTCCAAATGGGTATTTTCAGTCCCTTCGTGACATCAGCTGTTTTTCCTTCCCTTTGATTTCACTTTGCTCTTGCACTGCTGACCACAAAGCCGCGTGGAGGTGCCTATCATTCACTATTACGTGGGTTTCCTCTATCATAGGGGTTGCTCTGTCCCTACTCTCATGGTGCCACTATCATATACCACAAATTCACTGAAGGTTCTCCCCAGTATGAGAAAGTTCTTCCCTAGGCCCTACTCATTCCTTTCATTCACTCATTAATTACACAATTATTTATTGATGGTCTATTTGTGCCAGTCGCTGAACTTATATGTTAGCGCCGTAGTCCCCGTCCCTGCCTTCGTGGATGCTATATTTGAGAATGAATAAGTAACTCTGCAAAGCCTACAAACACTGATGAGTAAACATGATGTCACAGAACAAAATAGTATCTCCATTTTCAGACTTTCAGACTTATGTCTATTATAATGGGGGAAGTACAGGGTGAAATGAAAACAGGGAGTAGACATCTCTCTCTTAACCTAATGGGAGCAAGGACGGCTGTAGGAAAGAAGAGACAGCTGAGACCTGGAGGATGAGTGAGAAATTGGCTTCAGCAGGAGGGTGAGTGGTGGGGCTGCTGTGTGCAAGGTCCTATGGCCAGTATGTTTCCCCACCAAGGTGCAGATCATAAACGTCCTGAGGAATACCACACTGATTCCCCCAAGAGCTTTCTGTGCCAGGCCCACTTTCTCCTGAGGACTCTTTTTAAATAAGTGCCTGGGAGCAGGCCAGAGTCCTCTTCTTTAAGACAGAGATGACTTTTCCTTCTGTCTGGATTCTCTACCAGCAAGTGCTCTTTCTCTTGAGCTCTCCTGACTTCTGTAGTTGACTCATTCGTCATAAGGATCGGCTTTCCATTTCAAGTTTTCTCTACGTGTCATCTAATGATTCTATTAATATCTACCCTATGACGTTCAGATGAAGCCTGAATAAGATAATGTAGGTTAAGAGACTTCATAAACTGGGAAGCACTCTATAATTGGCAGCTATTACTATTATTGCTATTGTTAAACTAATTATAATAATTATTATTCCTGCAGAAGTTATGTTATTAGTCCAAGGTCACACGGAAAGCCTCCCACCTGGACATTAAGCATACAGAGCTAACAGCATTTCAAAGATTTATGCTCTGAGATGCAAAAATCTCCCACATCCAGGTATCTTGTGCTGTGTTCAAGCTCCCAGGACCACAGCCAAACTGCATTGCCTGGACTCTGCCCCTCGGATACTACAGCTCCTTCACCAGTACACCAGTGTGAGCTGTAGTTTTCAAGATTTTCCAAAAGCACAGTTCGCATTTATTTTGTTTAATTCTTACATTATGTTTCAGCCTCCTCCAAAATGCATTTGATTGCAGAAAGAGCCACGTGGGGAAGTTCAGCTCACAAATAAGAATATAATTACTACACAGTTTAGCAACGCCTGGGCGTCACCCGGGTATTCACCGGTGCTCCAAAATTCAATTGTCTCTCCTTCAAGACTATATTTAATAGGATAAACAATTTCTGCTAAATGCAATAAATGTGAACCTGGGCTGTCATCTCCATAATCAACACAAATTTCCCATTAGAAACAGTGGCTGTGATTGAGATTCAGAATTTAATTTGGCAGTGCTGCTTCAACGTGCTAGTGTCAGCTTCATGGGAGCCTCCCATCAACTAAAGACAGAATCGCTCTTCCCTGTCTCGAGGGAATCTTAAAAGAAGATAGATTATAACTCAAGAAAATTATACGGCCTCAGTATAATGAAAGAGATAAAACATTATTGGATTATCCTGTTGAAATAACAGCAGACGGCAAAGCAATAATATTAAACCAAACAAGGGCCCAGACCCGTCAGCTCAATTGCAGGGGCCACGGGGAAGTGGGAAGGCGGGCAGGATCGCCACACTTGATGCAGGAACCCCTGGCAGTACCAAAGCAGCTCCCTCTGATGGCTGCTCTGTGGACTCAATTCAGATAGCTAGTTGGGCGAGATTGCTTTGTGCCAGTAACCAAAGCTTGGTGTCATATTTTAAGGTCTCAGGCCCCAGCATCAGACCCAGTGGTCAACTCTAAGCAGATGATTTTGCTAAAAATCAATGGTTGAATCAATAGGATGAACTAATTCGCCTTTAACCATCTGCTTTTTACCCCACCAACTTTATTTCAACAAATTCACCTGAAGTACTTCAGTCAGACAGGAGGAGCTCAAGAGCAAAGAAAGACTTCCAGGATATTTTAATATGATGGAACGAATTAGAGAAATAAAGCTTAAATGCTCACCTGACAATCCAGAAAATTAAATTTTTATTTCTGGTAGCCCAGAGAAAAATTGTCTTCTTATTCTCTCCCTCAAGCCTCCCTCCATACCTGCAAAATGGTATTTGCACAAGAGTGTAAGTGAGCAAAGCAGAAAGTACAGTTTTGTGGGGGAGGTAGGGAACCGTTTACCTTGCACATACCCAAAGCCATCAACTTAAAATTCTCTTTCACGTATTTCCTCTTCCGGCCACCATGATTTTCTCTTCTTTTTCAACTTTCTCTGCTTCAGGGATCAGTTTCCCTGGCTCTTGTCTCCAGCTCAGGATCTTCCCTGGGCACCTATCCATGCCACTCCTTTATTAAGCACAATTCCACTCTGACCCAGAACTCCTGCTGCCAATATGGACAACCACACCCTTCCTATGCTAAGCATCCAAGTAAGCTGGGGGACCAGGGTCCTCTCTCCTCAGAAGGGAATGACTGGCGATTTGTCAATCACACACACACGGTAATTTCTGCTGCATTTTGTTTCATGAAACATTATTTGTTAATCAGATACTCATTTACTGAGAGGTGAGAGAGCATCGTGATTAAGAATTCAAAACTCTAGAGCCTGAGTTTACAGCCCGGGTCTGCCACTTTCTAACTGTGTTAACAGTGAACAAATTGCTTAAGCGCTCTAAGCCTCAGTTCCCCCAGCTGTTACAGCATCTAGAGGATGGAAGGGATTAATACACAGAATTCATGGCTGACACATAGTAATCATCCAGTAAACAGGAACTACCATTATTATTGAACAAGACGTTGTACTCATCAAGGAAAGAAAAAAATTAATGTTCATTCATTGATTCATTATTAAGCACCTACTACATGCTAGTCACAGCTAGAGAATGGAATTGAAATGTGAACAACTTCCTTCCTGGCTGGTAGTCAATATGAGTGAAATAAAATTGTAGTGTGAGTAAGGTGAAAATTACATAGACGCTTAAGCCTTTAACTCAGATTTCTTTAAATCGACTTGCATTTTACAGGCTAATATCTTTATTTTAAACAGCTTGCATGGCACTGCCTCCTGCCCTTCTACGAACCCCAGGTGGAAGCTGGTGTAGGGATGAGCTGGCCTGGGTGCTTGAGGGCACAGGCCTCTCACTGTATGCATCCCATTGCTGTATCATCTGCTAGGAGCATTCCCATCATTAGCAGTTAAGTGTTTCTGAAGCAGGGCCTGGGCAGGGGCTGCCCCCATTTTGAGGAGGCGGATTGTGACACTGCCTTTGTCTTGTCTTATGTCCTCCAGAGCATGAAGACCAATTTGACCAGCAATTCCACTTCCCATCAATAGTGATATCTATAAGAAAGAAGGTCAACAAACATCAGTTAGCCCTTCTTATATTCCTGGTGCCTTACTGGGATTGGATGAGGTATGTAAGCCAAAAGGTTTTGGGAGTCTGCATCTCTGAGCTCCCTGCTGCAGCGGACTGGCCAGCTTCCTGGCCATTGTACTTGTCATGCTCCTGCCTACCACAGGGCCTTTGCATATGCATTCCCCCCTTGCCCAGAAAACTCTTCCCTCCTCTAATCACCTGGTCAATCCAGTTCGCCTGTTGGATCTCAGTGAAAGGGTTATTTCCTCAGTTAAAAGCTTCTCTGACCACCCCCAACTCCCCATCAACTGTGACTCCTAATTCTCCTTCAATTCCTTGTATTTTCAGTATCTGAACATTTTGTAACAGTTGCTACAATTTAAACTTTAAAGACATTTATGGGACAATTCAAAGGATATTGACCTTCCTTTCCAAAGCACAATCTCCATTGTGACAGGGACTATATCTGATTTGTTCACCCAGCACCTAGGCTGGCACACAGGAGGCCCTTACTAAATGTGTGTTAAGTGGATGGATGGATGGATGGTTGGATGGATGAATGAATGAATGCTTTCCAGCTTAGACAGTTTCCAGCTGTGGGATGCTGGACAGGTACCTTCTTTTCAGCTTATGTAATGGGAGCTGTGTTATCTACTGTGAGTGTTGGATGCTTGGTGCTTTCCACTTTCTGACACTTGGCTTTCACTTGAGGATTTTAGATTGTTGGTGAGATTGGTAAGTCATCAATGACTTCAATCATGATATATCCTGTGTCCAGCTTTGCCACTATCTCACAGTGTAATTCTGGGTAAGTTACTTAAAAATGAGAGAGTTGGAGTGCATGGTTTCCAAGGGCTCGTCCCACCCATAGGAATTCTGTGGTTGTGTGACTGCACACTCACTGGGAAGATGACTGCTTGGGGACTAGTTGAGGTGAAAGAGGAGAGTGTGGACAACCTTGAGGATTTCACTGGGAACATGAGAGTACAGGCAGGAGTTTCAGTTAAAGGCTTTGGGGGCAGACCACTGTTCCTGAACCTGGGTTTCTACTGTGTGACTATGGCATGTTAGTTAGTGACCCATCAAACCTAACTGTGTGACTATGGGCACGTTAGTTAGTGACCTATTGAACCTCAGTTTCTTCATCTATAAAATGGGAATATCAATGATATCTTCATGGGGTTGTTGTGAGGATTAAATAAATATATATATATATATATATGATACAAAGTAACAATGTGCTCTTTAAAAAGTAACCAATGTTTATCTTGCTTTTCCATTGTGTCAGTTACCATTCCAAGTGCTTTATGTGCCTTCTTACAAACTCAAGACAACTCTATGAGGTAGTTAATATGATCGTATTCATCTTACAGTTGCAGAAACCGAGGCATCAAGAGGTGAAGTATCTTGCTCCAGGTCACAGTTATTAAATGATGGAGATGGAATTTCAACCCAAACTGAGTTTAAGCACTCAGCAAGATGTCTAGTATACAGCAGTGTCCAATAAATGCTTGTTGTTTGTTTTACATGTGCTATTTCCATATTGAACAGTATCACCAAAAAGTCACAGAAAGGAATGAAAGTGAGAGAGGAGTGAACGGCTGAGGACTCATAATTATATGTTAAACTGGCCAAAAAATTTGAGAGCTGGAAGGGAGCCCAATGGTAGTTGAGTCTTTCATTTGTTAATTCAACATGTCACTGAGCAACAACAGTGCCTGGCTACTGAGACACAGAGGTAAATGGGACATACTCTCTACTCACAGATGCAGGGGAGCTAGATAGACATGCCAACCCAAAGCACAATGCCTAGAGAGCTATAGTAGATATATGTTCAAAGTCCTCGGGGAGACAGCAGGAGGAATTAGCTAATTCTTTGGGGATTAGAGGAATTTTTGCAGAGGAGGGGGTATCTGTGCTAGAATTTGAGGGCTGAATAGAAGCACACTAAGCAGAAAAAGAGGGTAAGCATTCCAGAATGACCCAAAGAGATGGCTTGCAAACGCCATGCATTGATATTTCTCTAATATAAAGCACTCTGTGTTGTAAAAAATAATGAAATACGGAACAATCAAGGGCCAGGAGGGAGCTCAGGTTTCCTAGTATCCAGCCCCACACTCCACACCCACACCTTGTTCTTGTTCTGGTGAATTATTCTCTGGACCTCCCCAGAGTTCCTTTTCCAATCAACTTACTCTTCTGATAGGAGATCTCACAGGCTAGGCCTTGGAATCCAGCAGGACAGATGCAGTCACAGTGTGATTCTGAGAAGACAAGGCAGAGAGAGTGTGAATCATGCCAGGTGGAGCAAAGAACCCCTGGAGCTCAGCCCTCCACATCATTGCACTTTCATCAGGTGAAAACAGAGCCCATATTTAGTTAAATGACTTGCTATTGGCAGGTTCAGTGCCAGGAATATCCACTCCTTTCCTGAGGGCCTTTGCCATAAAGGGGTGTTGATTGCCATCCCTGGGAATACATGGAATTGTTGGGTACAATTACTCATTAGCTGACATTTGACCCATACTTAAATGCTTACAGTGTCAGAAGCTACATTAGCAGTCATTGAGGCCAATTGTCATTGATGTTCAATTTCATCCCAAATAATTGCCTAGCCTAGGCTTGAATACCTCCATGATGGGGAACTCATTACTCTCAGATGTCTCATCCAACTTTTGGCCAGTAATGACTCCTGGGAAGTGATTCCCTATGTGAATTTGTAGCCTGTCAAGGAACTTCTCATCTGAATCACAAGAAATCTCTTTCTCTTTACAGGATTGTCTGTCAAAGGTCAGGACCTGCAAATATTCCAGTCTCTGGCTCCATATTCTACCTCACCATCACTCTCCAGCCTCAGTTGCATCCAAGTTTCTAGGTCCAAATTTCACACAAGGCAAGGGAGATTTTAGCAACCCTAGATTAAAATCTTGAGCTGATGAGCTGACCCCACTTGCTTCAGAACTAACTCTCACCTAGGGGTCCTTGTGCTGAGAGCAGAACTTCTAGGCCTTATGCTCTCACTTATGTCTTCTCTGCCCATGTCCATCCTGTCCAAGGAGCCAGAGACATATTCCTTAATTGCAGTCTGCAACTAGACTCTTTCTGCCTGAGAATACATCTTCTTCTCTGTCCCTTCTGTGGAGCTGACTTCATCCTCTGGTCTCTGCCTTGACTCCAGTTGGTTCCCTGAGCTGGACTTGCTGTAACCATCTGCTCTGGTGGCCCTGTTTTGTGTGTTGGCTGGCCTCTTCCTCAGAGTCTTGATAGCCTATCCCAACAGGAGCATAAGATTCCAGGCCCTCACCCCTCTCAGTCTGCTCTGCCCACTCCAGTGACCCCAGACATGACTCTTGAGTTTAACAATCAAGTTCTAGTGGCCCATCCTTGCTGCTGCCCCCAAATCTTATTACATATTAGTCAGGACATGCACAAAAGGCTTCTCCTGCTCAGCCCAGGCCCTCTTCCGGGTAGAGATTCTCTGAGTCTATTCCCACTCCTTGCTGTAGGTCACATGATCTCAGCCTGCTCCTGTCTTCAGCTTAATGATGCTGTCACCTGCAGTACCCTTTGGGGCTAGAACCCAGGTATACTGACAGCAAGAGTAATATCTCCCAGTGGACTAAATTCTGACGTTTTGGTCAATAAAAGCAGGCAAATGGCTGGCCCCTGGTCTGCTTCAGATTATGGCTTCCACAAGGGAGACCAGCTGCTTGAAAGTGGTACCTTTCAGGACAGGGACTCCATTCCCTTGGCAGGAAGCGCACTGGCAGGAACTAACTTCCTTCTGGAACTCCTCCAGCGCCTGCTTCATGTTCTGCCTCACTGTGCTGGAATACGCAAAATCTGTGGCTGTCACTAGTTCATACAGAGGCTCCACCTGGAAAGGGAAAAGGGCATTGATTTCAAGAGAAAAACATTTATCAAGTCGAAGTGTAAAGCAAAACTACAAAGGAATGGACCGGGATCAGTGCACAAAGACTGCATGTGGATTCCTATGGGACTAGATGGATCTCCTGTCTTCTCTCTGCCTCCCCTTAGCTGATAAACACAAATTAGCTCACTCAAGTTCAGGTCAACAGACACTTAGAATACTTACTAAGTGCTAGGCATGAAGCATAGAAAATGAGTGAGATAAAATCCCTACTCCCAAGAAACTCAGAATCTAGAGAGAAAGAGAGACAAACACAGCAACAGATGGTTACCACTTGGTGGTTACAGGCACCAGCAGAAACTTGTAGAAAGAAGCAGGTGAGAGCAGAAAGGAGTGGATGGTTCATCTATCTTTGGTGGGGCAGAGAAGGCGATTTTCCAGCAGCTCTTTGGAAGGATTATAGGAGTTCTGTCCCAACATCACTCTCCCTCCAAATCTATTAAAATCATTCCCATCCTGCAAGAGTCACCATCAGGAACTTTCCAGAGCTCTAAAGCTCACAGAACACCTTCCCTCCATTAATCACTCAAGATACTGTCTGCACTACCCATCTGATACAAATCCCGTGTTTCTGACTGCTCCTTTATGGTTGATACTGTTTTTGGTTTGGTTTGGTTTTTACATGGAGAATTCCCCCTTTTTCTTTCTTTTCTGATTAGACTATAAGCTACTGGAGGTCAGGACAATGTCTCAGCTCTGTGTTTCTAGGGTCCAGGCTCCAGCTAAGTGAACATAGTGGCTGGATGGATGTAGGGGACGAAGGGCCTCATTAGGATAACGGCAGGGGGCATGATGAGAGGGTATGGCTGTCAGAAGCATAGAGGAAGAATGAGCAGATGTGGCTCACTCAGTGGTCGTGGCAGTGTTTGAGAGGGAGAAGTCACAGATAGATGTGGCATTGCTTGTGGGTTAGAAAAACCAGAGGTACAGTCCAAATAGATGGTTAAAAATGTTCCCTCTTGGCTCAGGTTTCAACTCCAGGGCCAGATTCCTCTCCAGATTTTGTTTGTGATTCTGCCCTAATCCAGCCCTGGAAGAGTTTAGGGTCTCTCTAAATGCAAGCAATCATGACTAATAGAAGCCTCCTGTGGGAAGAAAATTGCTTCCATTTCTTAATGCATCTGACGCTGACCTTCGCTCCAGTGGGCAAAGCAAGGCCCCTTGGTGGTCCCATTGTCTCACCATTTTGTGGTCAATGAATTGATCCGAAGGCTGTTTGCAGAACCATCCAACCTGCTGGCCACACAAGGGGTGGGGGTGGGAGTTTGGAGAGAGAAAGAGGCAAACTCTCTTTAAACCAATGAAGAGCTCCTCCAACAATCTGCTTTTGCTCCCAAAGCACCTTGAAAGGCTGCCATTAACCATAAAGGCACTTTCCTACCAGCACTGAGATTTGCCGCAGGAGACAGAGGAAATCAGAGGCCAAACTGGAATAAACCTTCCATACATACCGTGTCCCGGGAGCTGTGTGGAGGGCTACAAATATGATCCTGCTTCATCCTTAAAAAGTAGCAATTATCAGCTCCATTTTAAGGTAGGATAAGTAATTTGATCAAGATCACACATCTCATAATATGGTATTACCAGGGTTCTATTCCAGAACCTGTGTTTTTCCTCTTAGTTCACAATGATCATTGATAAAAATGGCTCGATCATTCCCATTTATAATCTCTCTCCTAGGGTTCTCCAAATTTTGCAAGCTATGGTTTGACTTGCAGCTTAACATCAGCTCCTCAGGACTCCACTTTGCCTTTTTAAACTTGATGCAGCTCATTCATCTGTTCTTTGAGTCACTGCTCACTTTCCCCATCTTTTTTCTTCTCTCCTTTAGTCCTCCCTCCTTACCTTCTGTCCTCCTTTTCTCTTCCACCTTCTTTCCCACCTCCCCCCAAACACACAGTTCTAACCACTCACATTGGTCATTGGATTCTTAGCATACCTGCCCTTGTGAACATTTTCTTTTATCCTATTGCAGCAAAGGAATGGTGAGCACTGACTAAACTCTACGCAAGTTTCCATACTAAATCTGGGTGTTCTTAGCGATAACAAAGAATTGTTACCATAGCTAGCATTTATTAGGTGCTGAATTAAATACTTCACACACATTATCTAACTTAATTTTTACAACAACCTCATGAGTTAGTTAGCTTTTTGTTTCCTTGTTGTACAGGTGAAAAAGCTAAGGCACAGAGACATTAAGGAGATTGACAAAAGTCACATTGCTAGTGAGAGGTGGAAAAAGGATATGACGTGTTAACGCTGTGGTCAGTTTCCTTTCAGGGTATACTTTTGGGAAGGTAGATGGAGCTATCCAGAGGATGGGTCAGTAGCTATTTACACCAAATTGGTGGCATAAGAGCAATTTTATGTCTCACTTCCTCCACTTAACATCAGAATATGAGCATTTTCCCACATGATTCAAGCATCTTTGATAAAATGATTTCTCAGTGCTTCAGAGTATCCTTCTATATGGATGAGCCACAGTGTATTCAACTCTTCTGTTGGATATTTCCTTTTTTAGGACATTTGCTTTTTTTCTTTTCCCTTTTGCTACTTCAAGTAACAAAATAAGACAAGACTTTACACATACATCTTTACCAACTTGTCAAATTATTTCTTTAGTAGATTCTTGCATTGGGGGTTGTTGGATGAAAAGCTATAAACATTTTTAATGTTTTGGATATATCTGCTTAAATTCTGTTCCTAAAGAATTGTATCAAATTATATTCCCATCCTATTTTACAAAAATATCCATCTCATCACAGTCAATGCCATTGAATATTGTAGACTTTTAATCATTGTCAATTTGACAGGTAGAATATAATACTGCAGTGTTACTTTAATTTTTATTTTTTATGATTACAGAAGTTAAACATTTTGCATCTTTATAAGCCAACTGAGAAGTGTTCATCTCCTTTGAGACATCTTTTTCTTCAAAATGGTATCACTCTTTACATATTAAGGATCTCATTAGTGGTAAAAAATTTTTTTTTTTGGTGTGTTATCAGCCATTTAGTTATATTTGTTGAGGGTTTTCTTTATCTTTCCTTTTTTTTTTTTTTTTTTTTTTTTTTGAGAAGTCTTACTCTGCCACCCAGGCTAAGTACAATGGCACAATCTCAGTTCACTGCAACCTCCGCCTCCAGAGTTCAAGCAATTCTCCTGCCTCAGCCTCCCAAGTAGCTGGGATTATAGGCACACAGCACCACATCCAGCTAATTTTTGTATTTTTAGTACAGGTGAGTTTCACCATGTTGTCCAGGTTGGTCTTGAGCTCCTGACCTCATGTGATCCACCCACCCCAACCTCCTACAGTGCTGGGATTACAGGTCTGAGCCACCACACCCCGCCAGATTTTCCTGTTTGAAATTCAGGATTTATTTTTGCAGGTGAGCTCTATCAGTCCAAATCCAACCTTGTCTTTCCAGGCATATGAAGCCACAACATTTGTATTTTAACCATTCTCTGGACCAGAGTAATTTGCTTTGAGAAAATCTTTGAGTAATTTGCTTTGAGAAAGGTCTAAGAGTCATTATTACTGCTTATTAAATATTTCAGCTTCTTTTCCTTCTGGGAACATGGTTAGGCTGCATTCTTGCTCTCTTTGAAGGTAGGTTTGCAATATGACTTGTTTTGACCAGTGGCAGGTGAGATGAGAATGTCACTTCAAGGTTGAGCCTTTTCAAACAGAGTGAGGTGACTTGTCCCACTCCTTTATTGTCACAGCTGTGGTCATCTTGGGAGCACATAACAAGATGCAGCCCCCATCATCTGGATCTGTGAGCAACTACATTGAGCAAATCTGCTTTGTCTACATGCTTTGGACATATGTGATTGAGAAATAAACTTTTGTTCTACCAAGCTGCTGAAACGTGGAGGTTGTTACTCTGCATCATGACCTAGGCTGTCCCGATCTCTGTGTGAGCACCATTCATTATCATATTTTTTCCCTCCTGCCCTGGGCAATGCCAATAATTCATACAATGGCCTCTCCATCAGCATAGGTCCCAGACCACAACCTAGCTATCTTGACTAGCATGGAAATGTACATGGATGACAGACTTTGTGACAAGGATTACCAGTTAAAGACAGGACATTCCGTTTTATTTTAATTTGAGATTAAAAGAACAAATCTTTTTTAAGTTTAAGTATATCCCATGCAATATTTGGGAGATACATATACTAAAAATTATTCCTTATGTATCTGATATTTAAAAATTTAACTGAACTTCCTGTGTTTTCATTTGTGAAATCTAGCAACCTTTTATGTGACTCCTTTAATATCTAAAATGTCTTTGGAATTCCTCAGCCATTAATGGCCATTTCACTAGGCCATAAGTTTTTCCTTCAAGACTTCACAGTTGTCGCTCCATTGTCTTTAAGCATTTCACATTGCAAAGAATTCTAGGACCAGTTTGACTTGTATTCCTGTAGGATATATTTGTTCCTAAAAGTAAACATTTTCACCAGGATGTGTTTCAGTTTTGTTTCATTTTCAGCACTTTGGCTTAGTTTTCAATGAGCCGTTCATTCTGTGTTATCAGCTCAGGGAAGATTCTCTTCTTATGTTTTGATTAATGTGTTTTCACATGTAATCTTGTCTCTTTCTTAGAAAAAACTCTCTGTTTTAAGATTTCTATTCCTGTACTCTCTGTCCATCATATTTCTTTTCTGCCATTGTTTTAATCTCTTTGTCTCTTGCATTATAAGAACATGTTTACAGCAGCTTACACATCCTCTCTCAATTTTCTGCAGTGTCAATTCTGTCTTTTATAGCTTCAAATGTGGGCTTTAATTCTGCTATTGCATGCTTGATTTCCCGTCTTCAGCCACTTGTCTTTTCATCTGATTAGTATCTAAACACCTCAGCTTTTATTTCATAAATTCTTCATTTTTTTGAATTTTATGAAATCATGGAAAATATATTCTAAAATTTACTTCTGTTTTTCTGTTTTAAGACATCATAATTTCCTATATCATGAACATAATTTCCATCTTTTGTGTTCAAATATCTTCTTATATGTTCATTGCTGTCTCTTAAGTCTTCTTTGAACAAAGAGCTACCTATGACTAAAGTTTAAGAATGGGTTCCCCTGTGGTCTCCTTCCCTGCCTATCTGCTTCTATAGAAATCATGTTTTAGGTCTTGAGCTTGAAGACTGGTTTATATAATTAAGCCTTGGCTGAAACTGTTGCATCTAGAAATTGTCTACTGGGCTCTGCTGTCCTAAATCAATTGCCACTCCAGCTACCTGGTAAGCTGGCTTTGCAGGGAAGAATTATTCTGACATAATGTGAAGCCATCTGCAATTTCCTCTTGCCAGAAAAGAATGCTTGTGAGAGTGGGATGCCCGGAGTATGTATTTCCAACTTAGGGTAGGAAGGTACAGAGGTATGTGACAACCTTCAGTGCTCCTGCCTCCTCCACTCCTGCAGCACTCCCAAAACATCTCTGATTCTCTAACACATTCCACATCACATCACATGCTTGGCATTTGACATTTCCAGTGCCCAGGCAGGCACATTTAACCGACCTGAGTAACCAGGGCATTTATTTGGTTTTCAGTTTTTTTAAAAAGATTCAGGTAAGATATCACAGGAAAAAGAGATAAAGGGTAGGGATTTATTTTCCCCTGAACTCTCTGTTCTCTCCCATGACCATCTGTGATGCCCGACCAATGCCACCACGGCATCAGCCAAGCCCAGATTTCTCAGGAGCTCCTGCAGCTCAGCTGATTTGATCCTTCTCATGTTTGCCAGCAACTGTACCCTAAGTGCAACTGCTGAATAAGTGCAAAGGAGAGGATTTGAATGGCAGCCTTCTTGTTCTGCAGAAACTATGTATTTAACATGCAAATAAAGAAATCACCCGGGCTGGAGACTGCGGAGTCTCTCATCAGAGCTCCAGCCCCTCAACCCTCTACCTTGACTGCAAGGTGGAATCTCCAGTGGGTGGGTACTGGCCCATAATGACTGCACAGACACTGGCAAGAAGAGCATGGTGTAAAGATGTGCTATGGGTACCATGCAGAAGTCCCCACAGGCAAGGATCTACCATTGCTGACATGTATGACAGTCCTGGCATAACAACCATCCTTTTAGTTTAACATTGTGGAACTCCTCTAGTTTGAGTGACAAGTGGTTAGAATCATTATTTTTTATTCACCAAGCCCACAGGAAAGTCTAGAGGGGAGGGAAGAAGTCAACGCCTTTTGGTTGAACCAAATAGACTCTTGAACAGCCAGTGATGGATGCAAACTCTCTAGCCCTTGATTTTTGTCAATCACAACATGGGGATAAGAATGATTAATTTGCTGACGAGTGTGGAGATTAGATAAAATAACATTTCTAAATGTTAGATGAAAAAGCATTTCTAAAGAGGGTCATGAATGTATTAGGTGCTCAAGACATATTAGTTGTTGTGATGTCTTATCTTGGCCTGTAAGATAGTTACGTGTGTGTATCTTACTGTACCTCAAAGGCTGTATGTTTTATACTTGCATCTTCCTCTATTTTCCCCTAGTACCATATTTCCTATAGCATAGCAGAAATTTAGCAACTATTTGTTGGTTGAATGCATAATGTTCAAATGACTTAATAAATGAGTGATTCTTTAATGAAACAAAAGGAATATTAATTATTTAATTAAATTGATTAATAAATAAAATTAATATTTCTTTTATTTCATTAGAGAGGCTAGAAGCCAGGCACAGTAGTTCATACCTATCATCACAGAACTTTGGGAGGCAAAAGTGGGAGGGTCACTTGAGGTCAGGAGTTCAAGACCAGCCTGGGCAACATAGCAAGACCCCCATGTCTACAAAAAAAAAATTTAATTAGCCAGGTGTGATGGCATGCACCTGTAACCCCCACTACTTGGTAGGTAGAGGCAGGAGGATCACTTGAGCCCATGAGTTAGAGGCTGCAGTCAGCCAAGATCATGCCACTGAACCCCAGCCTGGGCAACAGAGCAAGACCTTGTCTTTAAAAAAAGAAGAAGAAAAAGGAGCAGGCTAGAATTAGAAGCTGATTGTTAGTTTCCTTTAGCAACTTGGAGCCCAAGTGAGAGGATGTCGAGGGTTTCTAGGTAGTACTGAGCAGTGTGTTATAATTTATTTATTTCAAATATATTTTCTTTCTTTCTTTCTTTTATTTCTTTTTGTTTTTTGAAACAGAGTCTTGCTCCATTGCCAGGCACCAAGCTGGAGTGCTGTGGTGTGATCTTGGCTCACTGCAACCTCCGCCTCCCAGTTTCAAGCAATTCTCCTGCCTCAGCCTACCAAGTAGCTGGGACTACAGGTGGACGCCACCACGCCCAGCTAATTTTTGTATTTTTAGTAGAGACAGGGTTTCACCATGTTGGCCAGGATGGTCTCAATCTCTTGACCTCGTGATCCACCCACCTCAGCCTCCCAAAGTGCTGGGATTACAGGCGTGAGCTGCTGTGCCTGGCCTATTTATTTCAAATATATTTTTTACTATCAAATGTGTGTCTCAAAATTAGGGCCTGGGCATTAGTGATAGCTGCATTTCATACCTTGGCTCACAGTAGGCCCTCAAAAGCTATTTTGCAGATGGAGAAAAGGATGGGTAGAGCAGCGCTGCATACCTTAACTTTGATGATGGCTGGGTTGTACTGCACAGCGTCTCCCCACTCCTGCATCAGGTCTGCTGTCGGCAGCTCCTTGTACGCCAGGGTGGTGATGTGCTCACTTGCCCCTCCTCGTACCAGGACCACCAAGTCCTCCACCATGGTGTTCCTCTTTTTTCTGTCTGGAATGGACACAGACAGCCAGCAGATCACAAAGGATACCCCTTTGCCCCCTAGAATATACTGCAACCCAACCAACAATTTGATTACATCATATTCACTGAACTTGTCTGAGAATTGTGCATAGACTAGACACTTCCTTGCCCATGGGGCAGTCATGGTGCATGGGGCAAAGGTAAACTCATCCAGCCATAGGTAACAGGCATTGGGGGCAGGACAAGAAAAAAAAAATTATCTTGAGCAGCTGTAAGTGCTAGTTACTGAGTAAGCTTAGGGAAGACAGATGATAGATTAGATAGATAAATAGATAATATGTAGGTAGCTAGGTAGATAATAGATTGGTAAATAGGTAGGTAGATCAGAGAGTAGATAGGTAGATACATAGATAATAGATCCGTGATAGGAGATAGATAATAGATTGGTAGAAAGATAGATAGATAGAGGATAGATAATAAATAGATAATAGGTAGATAGATAATAAGCAGTTGATAGATAGATGGATGATAGACACACAGACAGAGAGATGGATAGATATAGAAACAGATAGGCTACATTATTTTCTTTTATTAGACAGCAATTTTAGGAGCCCAGCATTATTAGCTCTACTTGTCCAATTATGGAACTCTTCCTCGAATTGTTAAGTGACTTGCCAAGGCCTACACAGCTAGTAGTTGATACATTTTAAACAAGGTCTGTCTGGTTTCATAGCCACTGTTCCTTGGTGAAATAAGTTTCCTCTCCCCAAATTGGCTCCTGCAGGTAGAGTGTAGTAGAGCCCATATGATTGGAAACTGATTTCTTCCTCTCCTCCACTCACCCTACACACCTTGACCAGGCATGAATCCAGCTCTGACTTTGTCTAGCCTTGTGGTTTTGGACAAATCATTTATACAGTGTGAGATTTCTTTTTTGTTCTCATCTGTAAAATGGATACTCTGCATCCATAAAAAGAATAAATGTTAACAGCTAATAATTATTGATTATTTATGTGTTAGTCACTAATATAAGTGCGGTATATGTATGAATGCATCTAATCTTCACTATGAAATAGTAACTATATAATCCTCACTGTGCAGATAAGAAATCTTGGAGAGATTGAAGTACTTACCAGACAGCCCTGTCCAGACCTTAAGCTATCTCACTTCTTTGTGTGAGATGACAATTGTGGGAAAATTAATAAAGGCTGTGCTAAGCATGTAGTTGACACATACTAAACAGTGACCACTATAAAGCAATTATTATTTGGACTTAGTGAGTTTCCCAGAAAGCTCTCAATCATATCAGTGGGCAATTTCCATTCTAATGTCTCTAAATCCCCAGTGCCAAAAGAAGTGGTGTAAAGCAGCCCAGCATGTTGGCTCATGGTCCCAGCATTTTGGAAGGTCAAGGAACGCAAATCACTTGAAGTCAGGAGTTCAAGACCAGCCTGCCCAGCATGGCAAAACTCTGTCTCTGCTAAAAATTCAAGTATTAGCTGGGCATGATGGCATGCACCTGAACCTGGGAGGCGGGGATTGCAGTGAGTTGAGATTGCACCACTGCACTCTGGCCTGGGTGACAGAGTGAAACTCCATCTCAAAAAAAAAAAAAAAAAGAAGAAGAACTGGTATAAAACAGCTCCTCAAGTCTGAGCCTGCAACACCTGAGCATCATTCAAAAGTTGGGGGCATCTCGACCAGGCTTGGTGGTTCATGCTTGCAGTCCCAGCACTTTCGGGCCCAGTATGGCTGGTAGATGGCTTGAGCCTGGGAGTTTGAGACCAGCCTGGGCAACATGGTGAAACCCTGTCTCTATAAAAAATAAAATTAGCTGAGCATGATGGCATTCACCTGTAGTTGCAGCTACTCAGGAGGCTGAGGTGAAAGGATTGCCTGAGCCTGGAAGGTGAAGATTACAGTCAGCTGAGATCACGCCAGCCTGGCAACACAGTGAGACCTTGTCTCACACACATACACAAAAAGGCTGGGGGAGGGAAGGAGTTCTCATCTACTGCCAACAGGAGTATAAATTGGTACAGCTATTCTAGAAAACAGCTTAGCACTATCTAGTCAAGTGGAAAAAGCCCAGCCTCTACAACCCAGCAATTCTAGTCCTATATGTATTCCCTGGAAAGTCACTTGTCTGTGTGCACCAGATAGCTATGTAAGATGTTCAGAGCAGAATCGATATAATTGCTTGAAAGAGGAGATAATCCAAGTGTTCATCAATAGTAGAATGGACAAAGAAGAAGCGGTATAGTCATACAACAAAATAGTATGCAGTGACAGAAGTGAACTAACTATAGTTATACACAAAAACATTATGTTGAATGGAAAACACAGGACTGGAAGGATTATATTTCATCCACATAAAGTTCAAAAACAAGCAACACTAAGCCATGTTAGCGGTACGTTAGGTGGTAAAACTCTAAAGAACAGAAGGACATAGTTGGCATAGAAGTTGGGATAGTGTTTGTCTCAAAAAGGGAGGGAGATGTTGTAATCACTGGAGGCACTAGGAGGATAAACATTAAGTGTGGAAGTCACAAGCCCCTGTCACTCACCTTTTATTTCATTCAGAATACCCCTGCATTTGCCTACGGACACACCCAGCTTGACGTAGACCTCTTCAATGGCACCGCCAATTTTAAAATCGTTTTTGGCACAGGCATGGACGTTGCTAAGAGTATAATCTGAAGAAAGCAAGGAAAAAGGTCCATGACTTAAAAGGTAATTCACTCTGTCACTTTTCCTTTGACGGAGTTCAGAGGCCTAGCCCTTGTTGGATGTCACAAGGATTCAGGTTCAAATAAATAGGTCACTAGCCTGATAACAAGAAATGCAGACAGCAAAAGGCACCAGGGCAGAGACCTCATAGAGCGCAGACCCAACTTCCCCTTTCAGCCTCCTCCCAATGCTCTCTGAGGATTTTTGCTGACTTCCAAAGAGGGGAATGCTCAGTCATTTTCTAAAAAATTTGATCTCCCTGTTGATTCTGTAGGGATAGATCCAGTGAGTGCAGAGACTGCTATAATCTGCCTGCCCTCCCTGAGCCAGGCTTCTCCAATCTTTGATAAAGTAGAAAATGTGTGTTAATTAATTAATCAATGTAATGCATACAAAAAGTAAGGAATAGTATCTGGCAAAGGGGAGGGGCCAATTTCCCTGATTTCTTCTTCATTTTTGGACTATTTCTTGCTTCATCCACCCTTATTCTCCCTGAGGCATCCTCCTTCCGTGATAAGCACCTCTGAGCACCTTGAGGCCAGTTCAGGGAGAAAGAAGCAACTTTGACCACTGGGGCTGTCTAGCAATGTTAGTGTAGATCAGTTTTTTCTCAAAGTACGTTTCTTGAAACATGAATCCCATGAGATGGTAGCAGATGTTACAAGAAAAGGAACTTCTGTGGTCAAGAAAATGTGACAAATGTTGCATCAAAATAGGTGGAGAGGTCATTTTATTGGAGTACATTCATGGAACTCTGAGAGTGGAATCTGTTATGTGTTTTCCCGACTTATTTAATTATTGAGCCCTTTTATAGGAAGCAGTTTGAGGAACTACAAAAAGCACTTTTGAAACCATTTTTATAGAGGAAGTTATCTTGATTTTGACAAGATTGAGGCCACAGTGTATAAATTTACATCGTGTCCTCTTGCAAGTACATGCACTGGTAACCAAGCCCTGGTTTTGCCACTGCAATCCGTGTGACTAACAGCAGTTTACTTAACTCAACGAGTGCCGTGTCATTAGAAAGGATATTGGGTCAGAAAGTAGCACTCACACCTTAGACTTGTAGTTGATTGGAGTTAGAAAGACCTGGGATAGCTGTATGAAGATGGATTATAGGAGAGGGGTGGGGGTGGAATATTAGTTTGGAGGCCACAGTAACTATCTCCAAAGTAAAGCATGATCTACGGACCAGCAACATCAGCATCACTCCAAAGCTTGTTAGAAATGTATTCTCAGGTCTCACTCCAAACTTACTGAATCAGAATCTACCTCTTCCAAAACTCATACTTGATTCACATTCACATTACATTTTGAATGTGAAGCTCTGGTCATGAGGTGAGCCTATGGTGGTAATAGAAATATATATATATATATGTGTGTGTGTGTGTGTGTGTGTGTGTATTTATATATATATAACTTGAGGTAGAGCTGATGGATTGGAAGAGAAGGAAAACAATAGATTTGAAGAAAAAAATAATCAAGGTTGACTGCTAGGTTTTTGGCTTCAGCCATTGGTTGGATGGTGGAACCATTTCTGAGATGTGGGTGGCTAAATAAGAAACCTATTGGAGAGAGAAAGTCAAAAGTTCTCTTTGGGCGCATGTTCAGCTGGTGAGGGTTGTTACACATTCACGTGGAGACATCAAAGAAACATGTCAGCATAAACTCTTGGGTGCAGGAAGAGATCTGGGAGTTATCTGCATGCTGAAGGCATTTATAGCCGTGGGGTTGGATACAATCGCACAGAAGAGAATTATAGAAAAGTGAATGGCCTAGGGAGCTAGACAGAGGAGGACTGACATTGTCAGTCAAAAAAAGGAGGAAGAGGAATCTGCAAATGACACTGTGAAGGTGTAGCCAGGTAGGTAGAAAAAAACTAGAAGTTCAACTTATGACTCTTCCCCCAGCTTTTAGGAAAGCCGTGGTCCCTCAGTGTACCTCCTCTCTCCATGGCCTCTTTGTTCATAACGAGTGTGTATTCATAAATGCCCCCGAGCACGGCCTCTGTGATGTAGTGGGTCCCAAAATCACGGAAGAGATCTCTGTATTCCCCGTAGCCGTACTCCAGGGGTAGCTGCTTAACTCTCTGAAGGAACTCGTAATGGAGCATGAGGCTTCTGGATTTCAGCTTGTAATGTGCTACTTCAAGGTCAGAGCGTGCATGCAGAAATACGCTTCTCTAAATGAAATACCAACATGGGAAAACCAGACCTTTAAAGTTAGGAATCTGGAATGAGAAATTGAACTTTACAAATACCATTCGACGTTCTTGGCCCAGGGTCATCACTCTTATGATTCCTTTAGGATACTTGAGGGAAGACGGCCTCTTTGACAAGCTTTCCGTGCTCATAAATATTCTGACATCCTGTTCAGCTTGGAAGAGCTTGCTGTTAATTCACCTCCTTACTGTAAAAAATAAGGACTGAGAAGGGTAACAGAAGCAGGCATGGCAGGGAACAGCTGGAGGGCATGGGGCCTCTCCGATGGGACATGGGGTTTGCTAACCTGCAAAAGCACCTGCTTTGCTGATGCCTTGTAAACTCAGAAAAAAAAAAAAGCCATGCAACAAAGAGTAAACATGGTGCTTTAGGAATACCAGCTATGATAGTGTATGGTAGGAGTCAGCAAAATACAGCCTCCTACCAACTACAGTGCCTATACTTGTAAATAAAGTTTTGTTGGAACACAACTGCATCCATTTGTTTAGGTATGGTTTACAACTGGTGTCACACTACAATGGCAGTGTTGAATAGTCGCAATGGAGACTTTGCAGTCTCACAAAGCCTAAAATATTTGCTATCTGGCCCTTTACAGAAAAAGTTTGGTGACTCTCCATGCATGGAAGAGACTGAAAGTTTGTGATGCCAGATGAAGTATAAACATCTAGGAGGTGTTAGTACAACCCAAGGGGAGCGTCCCCTATACTGCCGTATAGGCAGAGGAAAAGAGGAAGGTGGGAAATGTCTGAGGTATGTTCTGTCCAATCCTAAATCCTTCAGCTCTCAAAGCCATGCCAGCTCTGCTGGCGCCCACTGCCCCGGTGCTTCATTTTGTCTCCTAGCTTGCTCTCGCCCCATTCTAGTCCTGCCTCAGTGACTTCTGACCATCTTCCTTCTCCCTTACCTTTCCTAAATAAGCAGTCACTAGGTACTCTGTTCATTATTTTTCTGACTGTTTTAGGTTGCATCTCCTTTTGTTGGCATTATTATAAAAGCTTCCTCTGTGATCTCTTTCCTTTCTCTAGCCTCCTTCAATGCCCCAATCACAGTTGAAGTCCTAAAATTCAGATTGTGTTATGTCAATGCTCCTCTTAAAACAAAACCTTGCCTAGCTTGCTGTAGCCTTCAGAATAAAATCAGCCTCCTTACTCTGAATATAACATCATCACGCTTTGTCCTCCAGTAACCTCTCTGGCTTCAGCTTCTCCACCCCAAAGGTCTGCTCTCCATACTTTACTGCTTTCTACCAACCACGTAGGTCAATATTCATACAACTTTTCACTGTTCCCCAAGCCTGCCATTCTCTTTCATATTATTAGCCCTGCTGTTCCTTCTCCCTGAAATGTTATTTTCTCCCTTTTCTGCCCGACACAGACCTACTTATCTTTTAAATCTCTACTTTGCTATTGCCTCCAATTTGATACCAACCCGAAGTTCCCAGATACACGCTGGCACTCCCTTCTCTAGGATTGCATTGTACTTGCTTGCATTGCCTTTATAGCATATACCATGTTGTATCATAACTGATGTAATTAAGAATAATATATTGGTCTCCACGTTTGCTGCTCCTACTACACTGTGAACATGAACGCAAGAATATTATCCTTTAGTCTAGAGATCCCTAGTCTGTCTCTAGGTTAGTGCCTGGTCCAACATTAATATCCTATAACTGGCAATTTGAATCAGGTAGCTGGAAGGGAGGGGAGGAAAGAAGGAAAAGGGGAGGTAGTAAGCAATAGGAAGCAGATGATACGATCAGATTAGCATCCTAGAAACATTTCTTCATGTGTGTGAAGGGGCAAGTAGGAGACAGAGAGACCATTTAGTTGGGAACAGTAAGAGATGAAATAACCTGGATTAATTAAGAGGTAATAGGAGCTAGTGTAAAAAATACTGGAGAGTAATACTGAAGGATTTGGTATTCAACAGATGTGGACATGAAGCCAAAGTGAGAACCAATGATTCTGGTTCAGTTTTTAGCCTGAAAAAGTGGAGGGGAATATGCCATTAACATACATTGAAGATTTAGGAAGAAGACATTGCCTTGGAGTGTCAGCACGATGCCCAGGTGAGATGCTCAGAAGAGTGGATAGGGAAGGTCTGAAGTTGAGCTGAGAGCTTAGAAGCAGTGATGAAAGCTCATAGCTTGTGCCTGTAACAGAAGTGAGTTGAAGAGGTCACCCAGGAGAGACTGGAGAGTACATAGGGAAGAGGGCCACCAATTAAATAAAGGACAGCTGGGAATATTAGAGCCAGGAAGGAAGCTGATGAGCAGAAAGAAAGCAGGAGAAACAGGAGAGCAATGGTTTAGTCATCTCCACCAAGCACCCTAAGAAGTCAGAGAAGAGGTCTTGGGTGACATTCCAGAGAGAATTTCAGCTGGATGTCTGGGATAAAAGTCAGATTCCTATGGGTTGAAAAATCTCCAGAAATATTCTGGTCTTCAAAGCTACACCATAAGCTCATTGAAAACCTAAAGGAAAAGTTTATTAGAAAATGAGAGAAAATAATTACAGAAGGTTATCTCTGCCTGGTCTCTTTAAAAAGAGAGAGATAGAGGCAGAGATAACCTGTCTCTATCTCTATAATCTTCTATAATTATTTTTTAAAAAAGATTTCAAGACAGCAGAAATATGATTTGTTGTTAGAACTAGTAGTAACGTGGAATATAGACACATCTGTGGGCATGAAATTTCAAAAGAATCCACATGCTATTGATGGAATGTCCCCTCCAAAACTCATGTTGAAATCAAATGGCATTGTAACAGTTTTAAAAGGGAGCACCTTTATGAGGTAATTATGCCATGAGGGTTCTGTCCTCATGAATAGATTAATGTCATTGTTTCAGGAAAGGGTTAGTTATCGTGGGAGTGGGGTCCTGATAAAACAATGAAGTTCAGCCCCCTGTTTTCTGTCTCCTGCATGTGCTTCCTCACCACGTGATGCCTTCCATGTGTTATGATGCAGCAAGAAGGCTCTCACCAATATGGCCCTTGAGCTTGGACTTCCCAGCCTCCAGAACTGTGAGCCAAGTAAATGTTTTTTGTTTTTAAATTATCCATTCTGTAGTGTCCTGTTACAGCAACAGAAACTGGAGTAAGACAACATATACGTTTAAAAGCAACACAGGCATACTTACAGTATGAGAGAATCGTTTGATTCTCTTGATATAGTGTTTGCCTTGATCACTTTGACTACTGATACCAATTTCAAATATTCCAGGTATTTTTAAACCAAAACCGAAACTAGACTTTTTTATTGTTTTCTCCATGACATTGTGTTCAAAATCTGAGTACAATTCATATTCTTCCAGTGCAAATTCATATTTGCCTTGCGTCTAAAGGAAGAAAAAAGAAAGTGTTTTTTATTTCATTTGGCTCAAATCAGTTCAATACCAATGAGCAGACAGCAAATCTACTCCTACCATGTGCTGGATACTGAACTAGATGCTCTGGATACAGAAAAATCAGGGCCAATTTGTGTCCCTGCCTCAGGGCTCTTGATTCAGTAGTAGAGACAGACCTGTTCAATGCCTTGGGTGGAAACTTAGAGGCTGGCTTTTTATTTGGATTTCAACTGTTGGAAATGTAGGGGAATGTTCTGTGCTGTGGGCTCAGCTAAAGCAAAAGCATGGAGGTGGGAAAGAGCAGGATGTGCCCCAGGAATAGCAGTGTGGTTCAGTGAGAAGCTGAAAGAGTGAGGGGAAAATGGGGATGTTGTGAGAGGAGTTTCTGGCATCAAAATAGTGTGGCTTTTGAATTACTTGTTCTGAAATCTGGGCTTAATTCAAAGATGAGTCAGCAGAGGAAGTAGATCAAGCCTCAGGAAAATGATTTGGGGCAGTGGTGGTTGGGTTGGAAGGAAAAAATTTGGAGTCAGAGAGACAAACCCATGAGGAGGCTGTATGAGCAGGGCAGGTGATGGTTGATGAGGGTCTGATCTAAGGCAGTGGCTAGGGGATGGAGTGACAATGGCAGGAAAGTGCCTTAGAGAGAATGCAGAGGGCCATTTGCTCAAAAATCAGTGTTCATGGCTCTGTGTGTGGGGAAACTGCCAAGGGTACTGTCTTGGGCGCCCTGGAGTGACCAGTCCCGAGTCATCTCCCTGCCCCCAGCTCCCATGGGCTTCTGGATGCCTATAATTCCCAGAGGAGGGTGCAACAGCTCAGCTGCCCCAAGGGGAAGGAGGAGCAGTTTGGACATGGTCTGCAGTGTGGCTGCTGAGATGTGCTGCCTCTCTGCTCTTTCCCAGTCAGGTGACTTTGGACAAATGCCTACGTTTCTTCATGTGTAAAATGGAGGCGATAATGGTCCCTTCCATCAGGCTTGTTCTGAGGATTGGGTTCATCCTGTTAAATCATAGCACAGCACCCAGCACAGCACTCAAATAATGTTGGTATGGAGAGCAGAGACTTTACCACGTATGTCCCACCTGAGTTAGGATCCACTGTCACCTGGATAGTAATGGCCGCTCTGAGACTCCCCCTTGAAAGCAGAGATTTTGTGGATGGCACTGGGCACCCTGATGGAGGGTGTGTTTGATGCTAAGGTAAATTTGTTCTTTCTTGGCTAAAAAGTGTGTTGGGGAGGAAGGGAAGGAGGGATAAGGAGGAGCTAGCCTTCAAAATTGGGCAATATATGCATTTTAAAGACAGAATCTTGCTTTGTCACCAAGCTGCAGTGTAGTGGTGCGACCTTGGCTCACTGTAGCCTCAAACCTCTTGGGCTCAAGCAATCTTCCCGCCTCAGCCTCCTGAATAGCTGGGACTATAGACATGTACCACCACACTTGGCTAAAAAAAACATGGTGCAATTTCAGAAGTGGAAATTTCCATCAAGACCCTCTACTCTAGTCCCCTCATTTCACAGATGAGAATACTGAGCCCAAAGTGGAAAAGGAACTTAATCGAAGGTAAAATTAGGACCTGTGGCAGAGCCAGGCCTGGAACCCAGTGTGTTCCCATCAGAACTCAAGTACATGTGTGTCTTATGGGATATTCTAAACCCCACTCTCTGTGAGATGTATTTCTAAGTTTGTACATTAGTCATAATAGGGTCCTACCTTGGTAGAGCATTTCATAAAATGCTTAAAGCAATGCCTGCATTTAATAGACAGGGATTTGATAAGAATGCAATAACAACAGCAACAGGAGTTAACGTTTCTGGTGGACTCACCATTAAGCCAGATTCTGTGCTAAATACTTAAATTCATGATTTCACTAATCCTCTCCCTACAGGGTAGGATCTCTGTAAATCCCAATTTGGAGACAGGAAAACAGAGGCTCAGAGCCTATAGGATTACGTAGATGGTAAGTGGCAGGGCCACCAAGTCAATGTGACTCCAAATCCTAAGCTGTACTTCTACCTTCAAGGTAGCTTTTGATATTATGGTTTCTATTATTACTGCTCGACGACCACCCTCCTGTTACTATAATGCAGCATGTCATCTTCACCACAATATCTGGAGGAAGGAACTACCCATTTTACATATGAAGAAACTGAAGCTCCAAGAGAAAAGGGGATGTGTCCAAGATCACACAGCTAGTAGGCTGTTGGGCTAGGCCATGGATCCTGCTAACTGGGTGCTCAGCTGGGGCTCCCTCCACTGCTACCTGGCTGTCCCTTACCTGTGGCATGTAGCTTTCCACGTTGTAGGGCTTCCTAAACCTCGTGTTCAGGATGTAATGTGGGGAGCATCCACCCGCATAATACTTGTGATCAAGAACTGGGCCCTCCAAAGTGTTTGTGAACAAATTTATCCTGTGAGGAAGAGACAGAGACAGTGAAGAGGTTAGGGTTTGGACCCTACTGAAGGAAAGCAAAAGTTCCTTGGCACAGCCTTCAAGGCCCTTGATACCCAGTCCAAAACAGCTTTCCAGCTTCATCTCTGGCTACTTTTAGCCACAGCCACGTGCCCCATTCCTCAGCCATGTGAAGAGGCTTGCTCTTTTCCAGTCTACTCAACTCCTTCCATGAAAGGTGCTGTTCCCTGCACCCAGAATGCCTTTCCAGACAGTCACTTTTATATCTCCAACTTATCTGTCAAGTTTGAGCTCTGTTGCCACTGCGGTGAGACATTTCACTGACACCCCGTGCTTTCACCATTGTGCATTGATTGTCCTGTATTACTACAGTTGCCTTGGGAGAGTAGGGTAACATAGGAGGTAAGCACGTGGACTTTGGAGCCAGACGTCTCAGATCCAATCCGTGTTCTTCTCCTTACTGCCCAGGTGACCTTAGGCAAGCCAGTTAAACCTTGGGTGGCCACTTACCACCTCTGTGGCTCAGTCTCCTCATATATAAATGGGACCATGAAAATTCTACTGCATGGGGATGTTGTGAGGACCACATGTGCCATGTTTATGAAGTCCTTAAAACACTGCTTGGTCTATGATAAATGTGCTATTTATGTATTTGTCATCCTCACTACAGCTGCAAAATATGGCAGCAAAGTAAGGTGCATGTCAGGCTAGTGTGGCCCGTTCTGACCTTGCTTCTCTGTCCTTGCCAGAGAACATCCTCACTATACTGAGAGCTGTTTGAAGTGGTAGTTTTCTTAATTTCTGCACAACCCTCACCATGACACATTTACAATATTATTTGCAATAATTACTGTTTACTGAGGGTGTGACTGGTGACAAACAGAGCAGTCGGTGGCTCCATGAATCATCTCATTAGTGTCCCTGCAGCTCTGGGCAATAGATGTTATCTCCATTTTAGAGAGGAAAAATCCAGAAATAATGTCTAATCTAGAACGCCCTAGATTAGAACTCTCCTCAGAGAGCAGCCAGAAGTGCTACTTACACTACAGTCTTTTCTCAGAAAGGTGAGTGGAAACTGTTTGTATTAGCTCTCTCCTCTATCCTTCAGAATTCCATTTAATGTCTATTCTAGACATTATTTCTCACTGCCTCCTTGGGTAAGCCTCCATTCTTGACTGTCTCTAACTGCTGAAAGTTCTGTTTTTTATTAACAGTCTCTGTCTCTTATCAGCTTCCACTTACTGGCCTTGATTCTGTTCCTCACCAGAATTGTCTGGGCTCTCTTTCCCATGACCCATTTCCATGTATCAAAATAATGTATACATATTTATTTTATTTAACAAATATAATGTGGTGCTTACTTTGTGGAAGCATCATCCTAATCAATTTACACATAATGGCTCATTTAATCCTTATGAGGATTAATCATTAGGAAGTAAGTATTACTATTATCCCCATTTTGCAGGTGAGGAACATGAAGGTAACTGACTAACCCAGGGTCTCCCTGCCAGGAGCAATGGGTGGGCTGGCCTTTGAAATCTGACGGTGCACAAACAGAATCCACCACACAAGCTGCCCAGCACCTCGTTTATTAGTGATATTCACTTATTCAATCATCACGGCACTTTGGAAGAAACATGTTATTAACGTCCTCCTACAGATGACAAAACTAAAGTTCCAAGTAGATAAGTACCTCACATGAGGTCCCCTGGCCAGTGAGCCACTCCTTCCGTTCCCCACTACAGGGTCCTGTCAGACCCTACTGCTGGCTTTGAATGTCTGCTATCCCGCACTCCAGCTGGGTGACCCCGGAACTCACTGAACCTTCCTGGGCCTCAATTTCCTTATCCGTGAAATGGGGATTATAATAACGAGCTTATAAGGTAGTCCTGAGAGAAGCCTCCCACTTCACAAGTCTCTCTCTAGTGACAACTTTAAAAATTGACATTTGATTTTTTTTCAGAAATAAGGTAAATCCCATTCAGGGTCACTGTTCCCCTCCCCAGGCTGCATTACATATGATGATTCTTAAAGCACTTGAGGGGAAGGTCTCCCTCTTCCACCTGCAGGCTGAGAAGCTGCAAAATATGGCAGGAAGGTAAGGTGCGTGTCAGGCTAGTGCGGCCCCTTCCTGCTGACCTTGCTCCTCTGTCCTTGCCAGAGAACAGGACCAACTCAGAGATCCTCAGAAGCCCTGGAAATCCATCCCTTTACTATCTAACTAGAGATCACTCTTCTTGGAGGGATCAATGCTGGGAGATTGGGACAGACCCGGATAAAATCTACCTGGCAAATTGTCAGTAGGCTTCAAGATGTAAGGCTTAGAAAGCATCTAACATGGTCACACTGCAGGTGTTAAAATAAAGGCTCCCCCTGGCCCTCGTGTAGCAGCCTGTGTGGTTTCCATGCACACACAGCTCTGTCTCAGTGTTCCAAACCAGCCCTTCTGATGCTGAGGTCTGTCCGAGGAACGTGCTCCTGGAGCAACTTGGAACTCTCCTCAGAGAGCAGCCAGAAGCGTCACTTACACTACTTTTCTCCGAAAGGTGAGTGGGAACTCTGCTTATATTAGCTCTCTCCTCTATCCTTCAGAATTCCATTTAATGCTGTGCCTTCCCATCTACGCCACAGAAAAATGGTCACTTACCCACTGGCCAGACCGCCAATTGCCCAGTATTGGTCCATTTCATGCTGACATTTTTTATAAATCCTTCTACAGTTGGCCTCATCTGACTGGTCTCCGCAGTCATTGTCCCCATTGCAAAGAAGTCTGCGGTTTACACACCTTCCTAGGATGGAGAAAGTGTATCACCCACAGCCACATGGCTGGCAAGAGAGGAACTACCATAGTATTAGCACCTACTAGGTGTGAGACCTTCTGTCAGGCCTTTCATGCTGCTCTGTTTTAATTAGTCATCCTGTATCCAGATAGATTGGCTATGACACGAAGAGTTTATTAATATCTTGCCACCTCCCCCAGCAAAAGAGGCCAATGTTGTATTCCAGAAAGCAGCAGGACAGTTTGGACTCTGTCTCCTTGGGGCTGGAAAGAGAGGGTGGGAAGGGTGGGCCCCGTAAGTTGTGTGAGCTGGGCCACATTTCACTTGTTACTTAACCTCTCTGCCTCCATGTACTCACCTGTAAGACAGGAAAGTCATCATTTCTATCCCATAAGGTTGTTCGACATTTAAGTGAGTAAATAAAATAGTCCCAACTCCCAGGAAGTGCCGTGTAAGCATTATCAGTACTGTCAGTGTTCTTGAGGGCCAAGGGCACATTACTAGTAAATATTTGCAGTGGAATTGAAACCTCTATCTAATCGCAGATTCTTCCCAGTAAACCACAGTGTCTTCGACAACGTAGTCATTTGGATCATGAAAACTTATTTGCATCCCTTTTGCTTCATTTAAACATTTTTCTCCTGATTGATTTTCTTTCTTATAAGTATGTTCTTGGGGGATAAAGCCCTTAAGACAGGTAGTACTATTTCCTCAGCTACATATGTTCATTTTAAACCAATGTTTTTGGAGTGTTAAAAGCAGAAAAATAACAATCTGGTCTTCAAATGTTTCTTACAAGGCATTTAAATTAAAGCCTGCCCAAATAACCATTATGGCTTTGGTCAGAATCATGGAACACTGGCCATAATGAGTCCATGGATACACTGTAAAAAAGTCTCTCAGATTTATTGCATAGAATTTTGCATTTGCAATAACCCCTAGAAATTACTCTAAGAATCTCTAACTCTTTTGAAAGATCCCCATGCACAGTCCACATGGGTGCAGTAAATGTAGAGAATTGCAACTCCTGTCTAGAAAATGTGGGTCAAAATACTCTCATTTTTGCTGGAGACAGGGAAATAGAGAAGTATCTGTTTGCCTGGGTTCTCTGAATGAATTGAAAAGCTGTGTTCATTTAGCTTTGCAGCAGGTGATTATTCATTTGTGTACTCTTTTCTTCCTACTTTCCTTCCTTCTGTCCATCTATCCATCTGTCCTTTTTTATTTTCTTTCTTTTTATAAACAACAATTTTTACTGAATATATCATGGATTGGGGAACATATTGAACTTAGTGATGCAGAAATGTCAATGACAGGAAATATCTTTCCGCAGATTTATCAGAGATAAACAACGCCAACTACGCTATATAATCTTCTAGTTTTGTCACATTGTATTTAACCCAGACCCCTGAGAGATCTAGGGAAGCCAACAGTCTACAGAGAGCCCTCATAGCTATGATGTCATTTGATGCTTATAACAGACCTGTAAGGTATTCACATCACTCCTAATTTTCATTTGAGGGAACCAAAATGCAGAAAGGTTAAGTGACTTATTCTAGTCTCAAAGTCAAAATAAGACCTGACCCAAGATTTCTGACATCAGTACACATACTTTTTTGTCTTTAATGTCAATGAATGAAACCTGAATTTTTGAATTTCTAGTTCAAGCTTTTCCACTTAACCTGCTATATGGTCTTGGCAGGTAAACTCTTCAAGTCTCAGTTTTTTAAGGTATATAATGAAGATAATAATAACACCTACATTATAAGGTGATTTTCATAAAAGAATACATGTGAAAGGAAGTCAGAGATTTCAGGACAAGGAGGCCTCCTGAGTTGGCCCATGACCCTGATCTTGAGCACTAGACATGGGCTGTCCCTTGGTCATCAAGAACCATTACCTCAGCTGGGCTCAGTGGCTCGCGCCTGTAATCCCTGCACTTTAGGAGGCTGAGGTGGGCAGATCACAAGGTCAAAAGACCTAGACCATCCTGGCCAACATGGTCAAATCCTGTCTTTACTAAAAGTACGAAAATAAGCTGTACATGGTGTCATGCACCTGTAGTTCCAGCTGCTTGGGAGGCTGAGGCAGCAGAATCGCTTGAACCTGGGAGGTGAAGGTTTCAGTGAGCCGAGATCACACCATTGCACTACAGCCTGGGCTACAGAGTGAGACTCTATCTCAAAAAAAAAAAAAAAAAAAAACAAAAGAAGAACCCATGACCTCATGTCAGGCTTTCCCCTCTCACTCCTACATTGACTTATACCTGTCTGTGCACACACGAAGCCTTCACATCGCACTTGACTTCTGCACGGTCTGTTGGCAACACAGTCTTCAGCTTCCTTGTCAGGGAAGTTGCATGGTTCCCCGTGGAACTGAGAGGGCCGCAGCAAATAGGCATGCCTGTACTGTAGCAGAAAGGAACCAGGTGAGCCAAGGGCAGAGCCTCAGGTCTCAGGAGCTGAGGGATACTCTGTGAAAATGGGTCTTGAGCCAGGATTTGGGCTCCGTAAGAACACTGAAATGTCTAATTGTCATTCCTCCAGCCCCTTGTCCTACCCCCATTATAGACACTTAAGGAGATATGTTGTGATTGGCTGTTTGCCTAATGGTTTCTCCAATTAGTCTTTGAGCTCTCTGAGGGCAGGGACCTTACCTTTGATCTCTGCTTCTGCAATGATCAATCAAGATTTGCTAAATATGGGAAAGTCAGCCTATGCTGACTGCATGGGCTCTGGAGTCAAAGGTTAGTAAATGAACTCATGTAGCCAGTTCAATAACAAAAAATAAATTATCTCTCAGTTTAATTATTCCACTGGGTTGATTCAAGTATTCTCCTTTGTTTCTGAAGGCATCAGTATATTATAAATGCTAAAACATGGGCTTTGGAGCTACAACTGTCTCTGATACTTTATAGTCATGTGATATGGGGCAAATTACTTAATCTTTGTGAATCTCAGTTTACTCATCTGTAAAATAGGGATCATGAATTATCTAAATGTTCAGTTATGAAGTTTGTATAATCTCATTATGTTTAGGCAATTACTTGGACTTGTGTTTCTTTATTTTTGCTTTTTAGCAGTCAATATTGCTATATCTCTACCATGTTATTCATTTATTCCAATATTATTGGCTGAGCCACCCAGTGTTGAAAAAGGTAAGTGTTATTGCTGCTTGCTTCTTTGGTCAGTTTCACCAGTAATTGTATCCCTGAGCCTGTTCTCAAGGAGGTCACAGATGCTGGGCTCCAGGCAGTGACAGCACAGTGCAATAAGTGCCTCGGCAGGGGAGGCAGAGCACTCTGTAGGCTCATCAGAAGGCCCTCATGCAAGCTTAGGAGAAGCCCAAGTAGAAGACTTTGGAAGAACTAAGTGATACCTCAGCTGAAACTCGATGGCTGACTAGGAATGTCAGGCAGATGTGAAGAACTGGCGAGAGTATGGGGCAGAAGAGTGATGTGGGTGGAAGAAATTCCTGGACCAAAGCTGAGAGGGCTAGAGAAGATGTCCCGTGTTCCAGAAAACATTAAAAAGATTCATCGTGGCTGGAGAGAAGAGCACAAGTAGGAGGGTGGCCAGAGTGGGAGGGAGACATAGACAAGAGCTGCTGACACGGGGCCCTCCAGGCCTCGGGAAAGTGGTTACAGGATTGCATCCTGGGGCCATGAGAAACTGCTTCAGAGGAAGAAAGTGATCAGATTTTGGTGATTTCCAAATGGTGGTTGCAGTCAAGATTTTAGTGAACAAAAGAGGGGAGGAGGCAGGCCAGGATAGCAGCAGCCCCTTCGCAGGATGACAATAATGAGGTATAATTATTACTTGTATGGCATCTGTACTTGGGTCTTTGGAAATCCGAAAAAGAAATATAGATGACCATTCACCCATGTCCTTTGTACTTACAGAGGGTCATTCTTTCTGAAAGGCAGAGCCTGTCAGGACAGGGACAAGGCTTTCAGAGAACACTGTGAAAAAAATAAAAAATGACTTAAAAGCTCCAGGCTCCAAAGGCAAAGTGGGCTTGAGGGGTGCAGAAATGATGGAGGAAATACGTCACACAGTCTGACTTGAGAGGTTTTTGCTGAGCCCCCAGCCAGTGGCCCTGCAGACAGGGGTTATGTCCAGCTGAGAGAAGGTGGGCAGCAGACTCTGAGAGAGCAGCTCTGGCTGGCAGGCTGACTCACGCTGAGTCTTCCTAGTTTATGGTGCAGATGAAGCAATTATCCAGATAATTGGATCAATGCTGATAACTTCACCAATAAAACCTACTTTGGGAGCTGAATGATCCAGCTTGGCTCTCTCCATTGATCCAGTTAACTGTGTGATTGTCCTGGGCCTACTTCCACAGCCTCTTTAGAGTCTCAGCCCATGGCTGGTTTGGTTTCCCAAGGATCTGGGGAAACAGCAACCCTTCTCTTTTCTCTGGCACATCTGTCGCTCTCAGAACTAAGATCCTGGGTCAGCCCTCCTATGACAAGGGAGGCTGAATGACAAATACTGTAGAAGCTGAGTGTGTTCACTGGTAGAACCCTAGACAAGGAACACTGGGTGGTGGCCTGAGTTTGAGGCCTACATTTACTGCTAGGTGAACTCAAGAAGCCACTTACCTGCTCTGATTCCATTTACCTAACTGTTTAACAGGAAGTGTAATAACGATCTTCCCTTCCTTGTAGAGACATCAAAAAACAGAATGAGAGCAAACACCACGTTTATGAAACAACAACAACAACAACAACAACAACAACAACAACAACAACAAAAAACCTATTATGTGCCAGAGGTTGGCTTATGCATTGAAGATGCAGAATTGAATTAGCCTTCACAAGTTCACTGTTTAGTGAAGGTGAAAAACAAGCAGCGTGTTGTGACAAATGTGAGGGCACAAGAATAATAAGGAGCTACTGAAGCTCATAAAAGATTGCCTTATCCAACTGGAGGTGGGGCTGAGGAGAAGTCAAAACGTTTTCTCAAAAGAGCCAGCTCCTGAGTACTTTCAAATTGTGAGTCGGTGTTAGCCGGTGAAGGAAGTGGGAAAGGTCACCCTGCCTGAGAAAGCAGCATGAAGAAAGACCCAGAGAGAGTGAAGGCCAGAGTCATACAAGGGTCAGGTGTGCTGGAGACGTAGGCTAGATTAGGTCACAGGAATCCCTGAAAATCATGAGCCTGGTCTTGATCCTAAGGGTCATGGGCAGACTATGAATGGTTTTCAAGTGGCCAAAGACAACTCCAACATACACGGTGATTACTTCTCCTGTTTCAAGATGAAAGATGTATTGAAAGAACAGGTTCAAGGCAGGGAGTCTAATTAGGAAGCTGATACAGTAAGAAAGGCTGGCTGTCCTTGAAAAATACTGGAGAACCAAAGGAAAGAACTGATTGCTGCTTGGAAGCACAGAGGGAAAGGAGGCATTAATTAAGTTAACTGACCCTTTCTGAGGGCCTACTATGTGCCAAGCACTGTTAGCGATAGCTCAGCCAGTCTTGCTGGGGACCAAGGCTCCTGGAGGATTAGAGCTTCCCCAGGCCTGGCTGCTTACCCTTTTCTTCTGACAGGGGTCACATGTGGTCCAAGAGGACCAGCTAGACAGCTCACAATCAATGGGCATCAGGGTAACATCCACACTCCGCGTCTGTCTGCTCTTAGCAAAGCTCTTGTTAGCTGCATTTGACTCAAAGGCATGTGGCCTTTCACCTCTAAAAATCATCAGGAGAGAAGAGAGTCAAGTATCAGAAGGGAATTACGTATACATCCAACCATCTATTTGTACATTCAATAAATACATATTTGCTTGCTTGTGCAAGGCTATTAGTTTATCATTCTCAGATAGGATAATTCATCCAACAAATACTTACTGAACATGTAGTAAGCACCTAACATTATGGCTAGCTCTGGCCAAAAGTGTATTGAACTTGGACCAGAAGACAGTGCATTAAGCTGGGTATTGCGATCTGGTTTTTTAACCTGTATGAGCTTCACTTTTCTCATCTATGTAATGGGGATAATCATACCTGCCACAAAGGCTATTTTTAGGATTAAAAATGATAGCACATGGGAAAGTACTATAAGCTCTCAAATGCTACAGCTACGCAGGGAACATAGCTACAGCTAGATATATGATCTTAAGGAATTTACTCCCTATCTCTGGGCCTCTGTTTTATCCTCTAAAAAATGAGAGGTTTGGACTAGATTGTCTTTAAGGTTAATGTTAAGAGTCTATGAAACATTTACTGAGAACTAACAATAGTCAGAGTATTGTGCTACAGGGTTCTGACTTCTAGAAGTCACAGTTTATCTTAGAGTAGAAAAGGAGAAACATGTCTCATATCCTAGCTCTGTGGGACTTTACCCAGAAGGCAAGGAATTCCAGCATGCAGGCCCCATGGCTGGAGCTGTGCAGACCCCGTGGGAGTCAGGAGAGCCTGGTGGCAGAGAAACAAGGAGGAGGCTGGCAGCAGCAGTGCCATTGAGTGGTGTAAGCCTGAACCGTGGCAATGGCCAGGGAGAGAGGATGTGGAGGACCAGCATATGAGATGTATCTCATGTGGAATGGATGGATAGTAATGGGTAATTGGATGGTGGAGGTGGGGTGTTAAAGGAAGGCATTTTAAGTGGATGATAGTTCCCCATGTGAGTGTGTGAGCATTGGGAAACACAGCAGAAAATAAGTCTTGATGGGGAAGACGTGAGTTTCGGGTCTGTAGGTACCATGAAACACCTACAGAGACTCATTTAGTAAGTAGTTCCTATATGGGCTTGGATCTCAGGATGAGAGATTTGTGTTTGGCATAGATCTGATCATGAAATCTATGGAAGCAGAGGTGATGGTTCTTGAGAGGAGAAGCAAGCCAAGGATACTTACTCTTGGAAACCTCAGCACCACCAGCAGAGACAAGGCAATGCTTTTCGTTCATTTCCTGGAGCACATTGGGTTACGAGTGAATGAATGAGCATGCTATTTAATCGGCCTGGGTCTTCAGTTTCTTCTTTTGTACTATAAAGCGTCTATGATGATTCTTATTTTTTTCTTACAAATGAAAGAGTGTATTATTACACTGTAAGACTCTTTGTAATTTCTGTTCCTTTCCAAGCCACAAAAGGAGATGAGAAGCCAAAAGGAATGGAGGTTTACTGAGCACCTATAACAGACATGTCAAGTCTGTGCTAAATGGCCCAGCGTCACCCATGCTATCTCCGATTTTCACAGCGGTGTGGAAGGCCGCTCGGATCACTGCCACCTGGGCAGGTGGGGGAAGTGGCCCAGAGAGACAGTGACGACGTGTCCACTGTCATGCAGCTGGTAGGCAGGCAGTGGTGTTAGGATCTGAGCCAGGGTCTGTTAGGCTCTAGAGTATGTATGTGCTTTGTCTGTTGCCCCATGCTACCCGGAAGGAAACCGGGCCGGCACTGACTCCACCAGTCCCTTCCAACCTCTATGTAAAGCCTCTTTCATTCCCACATCCAGGACTGAGTCATTAGGGAGAAGTTCATCACATAGTTTTCACCATCTCAAATATGCAGGATGTCACTCCCGGCAAGGTCATTAACAATACATTCTCACTTGGCAAAAGTCCTAAAAAGAGGATAATATTAACTACGGTGAAATCTGTGTCCATGACCGCCCCAGAGACCAGCAAAAATCAATTGCCTAGTAAAGTTGGATATTCAATGAAAGGTCAAAGACTACTGGAAACCACAGGTGGATACTTTAAAATGGTTACTTGAGGCAGGATACTGCACACCAGTGGGGGGCTTCAGAATGTGTTCTTATCTGCTAATGTGCCCAGGTTTGACAAAACATTATTGTCTGTGATTTGGCTTCTCCTAAGTATGTATTTGACAGCTCTGCAGGGTACCCTCTTCCTACTTCAACTACGAAACAGTTACATTGCGTTTTTAGCAACCAAGACAACTCCAGGGCCACAGTTGAGACTGAGCAGATAAGTAATGTACACACTAGCTATTAAGAGTCACAATTATTTTCCTCTCTTGAGATTTGAAAGCCTGTTAATGGGCAAGATGATCACTTACAGAAAGAACTAGGTAAAAAGTAGTTATACCCACCACATCTCTCATTTTTGCACCCAATTTTCATTATGGAAGGCAGCAATATAATGAAGTAATCAGCTGAATAAATAGTATGTTTGTAAATTACATTGGATGAGATGTGTGTGGTTTGTTAATACTACAAAATGCAAACCTGAAAGGCTAACATTAAATTGCATCTTTAATTCCTGGGACTAACAAGGAGCCAAAATTCTAGGTTCCATTAGGGCCTCTGTGTGTGGGAGAAACATGAGCCTGTCACCTCCATGAATTTCTATAGAGAAACAAACCCGATGGACATTTTAACCAACTGGTTAAACTTCTGTCATTAAAAATCATCTGTATGCTTTTAACATTGAAAAATTAAACCTGCCTATAGAAGTACAAGAAATAATATAGTAAACAGCCATGTACTCACATCCAAATTGGTAATTGTTCACACTTTGGTACACCTGCTTCAAGTCTTTTTTTTTTTTTAATTTTTAGTTTTGACATCTGCATGTTATAGCAGCCTCAATTTCACGCCCCCCACCTTGTCCCCAGAGGAGCTATTGCCACGAATTTGGTGTGTTTCCTTCCAGTCTCTTTCAAATAGTTTGAGGTCTATACACTATCTCTAGTATTGCTTTTGCTACATATCATATTACATATGATTCTGCAACTCACTTTTACTAATCCACATTGCATTTCTGAGGCCTATCCATATTGATTCATAAAGAGATCTAGTTCATTTCTTTTGCCTGGATGTTCTATCACAGGACATGTATTGCATTTAATTTGTGCCTTTTCTTTTTGAGGGACATTTATATTTGCCCAGTGTTTTGTGATTGCAAATAGAGCTACAGGAAAGACCCTTGTACAGGTCCTTGAACACGTGCTCCCTCTACTTAAAGACTGGCAAGCAGGTGTCTTTCCCGGGGATGCAGAAAATGCTGTAGCCAGCATTAGGACACATTTCACCAGACCCAGGTCTCCCACGCTCTTCCTAACAGGCATCTCTGATCAAAATAAAGATAGATCCATCCAGTACGACAGGGGTGGGTCAGCAATAAATTGCAAGCCATCAACTTATATAGACGGGTGCATCAATATATTTTGGCTTTCGGTAGAAATACCCTGACACAACAACTTTCTTGTCACACACAATTTGTTAGGCAGCTGCATCCCCTTTGCAAACAGCATCCTTTTTCTTTGCTAGAAGGGGCAGCTTCTGGGTGGCAGGTTTTCAATTTCTCTTCTCTCTGTAGTTTGCTGTGGTAGACATGAAATTTAAAGCAACATCTCAAGGCAACAGATGTGTGGCCCAGGGATGGGCAAATGACACAGGAGGCCAGCAAGTCAGACACACAACATAGGTGGTGGGAGGTGGGGTGGGTCCAGAGGTGGGGAGACAATGCCTTAGTGCGAAGTGAAGGATGCAGGTAGCATGCAGGGACTCTGAGACCTGAATGAAACTGGATTTGAATCCATAGTCTGCTATTTGTTAAGTGGGCATCCTTGGGACAGTTATGTTTTCTGTTTCCCTCTCTGTGAAACTGTAAACAGTGGTCCTTACCTAGAGTAGCTATGAGGATTATAGCTAATGTTTCCAAGTGTCTGGTACAGAATGGCGATATATAAGTGATAGGTCTTATGACACAGTGATTATGATTTCATCATCTGACTTGATTACAAGAGTAAGTTAAAACAAAAAACTCTCTTGGCCAATATGAAAGTGGTCTGAGCATTTTCTGTCCCAGAACCAAAGGCTATTCTTCTACTTCGCAGATGGAATTCAAATATCAGCCATGTTCAAGACTGCCCCATGGGAATTATGGGTGGATGTCAGACACTATACCTGGGTTTTGGTATAGTGGCAAGGATTTGAGACTCACCACACATGCATGAATCTCTTCTTGTTATTGAGGATCGGTTTGTTCTCTTATATAGCAAGAAGGAGAGATTACAGCCACCTCATGATGTTGTGGTGACGATTAAATACCATTTCCCAGACTGCACTCTAATCAACGATTTCCCCTCCACTCCCTATTTCAGAGTGAACTTCCTAATATATACAATTCATCGTGTCACTCCTTTGCTTCAACCCTTCAGTGGCTCTCATTGCATTGCAGGAGGACACAGTTCAAGCTCCTTCACTGGTACTCCAGCATCCCGCACCTCTGCCCGTGACCTGAGGCCTGCTCACTCCTACTCTATCTTATCTTTCTCAACTCCCCGCTGGGACCTGTGTTCAAGGCCCACTGAAGTGCTTGGAAGCTTTGGGAGCGATCCCTGGCTCTCTCACTCACAGACCGTCACCTGTGTTGCTCCCTCTGCCTGGCAAACACCCCATAATCATTCAGCAAACACCTGTTCACCTGTAGAGATTCAGCCCTAGAACTCTTCTCTTCTAGAAGCCTTTCCAGACCCCAGGCTCAGTAGAGCTGACCACTCCCTCTTTGTTCCCTGGCTGCCCCTGTAGCATCTCTTGCAACAGTAGACGTAGCATGTGCTCGATGTTGGCATTCTTTGTGAGAACATAGGCTCATCTCTGTATCTTCAGAGCCCAACAGAGAGCAGGTATTTGAATGCTATAGATAGGGTTGTTATGGTTTCCTTAAGTCCTCCATTCCAGACACATTTTATGGGGTACTGAAGGCTTCTCTATGTACACACAGTACACACAAAGAAGGTCCCAGCAGCTTAGTTATTCTCTGGGCTAAATGGAGATAGATGCTTGATCATCCTAACAGCTGTTACTTATTGAGTGCCCAATGGATAGTGAACAAATGCTCATTGTCCTGTGGTGGTGCCTAATGGCAGCACAATAGAACTGAGACCAGAGGCTGTGTCCCATGGGTAGGAGATATTCCTCACATAAAGTGAAAGGTTTGCTCAGATCTCATTTTTGGACTAAGTAAAAGGAATGGCATTACAGTCCCTATTCCCACAGGAGTGTTTACATGGATGTTGGGGACACATGCATACTTCAGCATCTCATGGTAGGGGCTTCTCAGGCACATGAAGGGTCCCCAAATTGCCAAGTCACTAGCTCTTCTATCACTGGAGCCCAAGTTTGAGCTCCCACTAAGACATTTTCTTTCGCTTGTTTTGCACCCTGCTAATGGAGACTAACAATGCTGAAATAAATCAGCTAGCACTTAACTGCTGGGAACATTTGGTAGGGTGGTGGTGAGATTGAGAGTGAGAGAGACAGACAGAGGCGAGGGGATGAGAAAGAACCTGAGAATCTGAAGATTTGGGGTTGATAAGCAGGTAGGGTGGGTCACTCTCATTTATTAAAATCATCTCATGAATTGGCTCTTTTTTCATCTGTATATAACAAACTTTCTTTTTCATAAAGAATCACATGGAGGCTTTGTTCAGAATACAGAACAAATATCCTATTCTTCTCAGCATGACAAAATACATTCAAACATGTCAGTTTCTTACAGGAACTTTTGTTGAAATCAGCCTCTTGGTTCCACAATAATTTGAAGAGAGTTGTTGATATTATGTTAGCAGATGCATGCAAATTGCCTCAAGAGACGTTCTTCATTCAGTAGGCATGCAACAAAGAGATGATCAGCATGATGTAGCTGCACCTTCCCTGTCATATTATTGATCAGGGAATTATTGGTAGCTGTCACTTACCTGGAGCCAGGCAAACTGAGACAGACCAGGGCAGCACAGAGAAGAAATATCTCCATCAGCACCCTCCAACCCCATGTCCTGGAATTCTTCATTTTCCCAATGTGACAGGAGATGCCGCAGAGGCTGCTAGATCCATGACAAGCCTGTACAGTGAGTGCCACTGTCAGCTTCTGTCCCCAAGAGCAAATAGATCTGCAAAGTAAACAGAAAGCCACTAGTGATTGGAAACTCAGACTTTGCACAGACCAAAAACTTACCTGTGACTCTGGAAACCAGCCAAAATAATGAAACGTCTGTAGCAGCACGGTATTTATTCATCTATAACTTTAGGGTAAGCTGCTAAGTGGACAGGCTATTTGTGAGACATTGAGGACTGTGGGCTCTAGGTTCAGACAGCCTGGGTTCAAGTACATTCTCTGCCACTTACTAAGTTGGCACAATGGTAGTTGCAGTTTTTGTCATTGCTTTTAACGGCAAAAACCACAATTACTTTTTCACCAGCCTACTAACTTTGGACTATGGGCAAGTTGCTTTACTTCTGTGCCTCATTTTCCTTACTTGCAATTTGGTGAGAATTAAACAAGTTAATAGAAGGAAATGCTTAGAACAAGCCTATGTTGGGCGCTCAGATATGTAAACTATTATTACTAAGTAGAATTCAGGGTTTGGAATTCTATTAAGATCAATATTTGAATTGTTTGCCTCTTTCCAGCTACATGATGTTGAACTAGTCAGTAAGAAGCTGCAGGGCTCTAGAACCCATCTACCAGAGTTCAAATTGCTTCTGTATGATTCACCAGCTGTGTGACCAGAGAAGATTACTAACCCTCTCTGGACCTAAGTTCCTTCATCTATAAAACAGGAAAAATAATACTACCAACCTCACCAGGTTATTGTGAAGATTAAATAAATTTAAATATTCAAAACATGTGGAGCATTGCCTGTCGCATTCTATGTGCTCTCTCTCTGAGTGAGCTGACATTTTTATTGACTGTCTTTGATTCTATTTCTTCAGATGTAAAATTGGAGAGACTGTGCCGACTTATCACTCGGTTAGGAGAGTCAGACCAAATACTAAATGTGAAAATGTTGAACAAATAGGCATTATAGAAATAACTACATGAGAATCATTATCTAAATATATGTACTGTTCTTGTTACTGTTTACATCCCAAAAGATGCAAATGACTGAGGTTCTCAAATCTACCTTCCTGAAAACCATCCCTGACTCCCCAGAATCAACATATTAAAGTCCAAACTGCACCAGCCTGGCGTTTACAAAACCAACCTGCCACGCTAAAGTGCCGAGTCCAGGTGTTGGATGGCGGTCCTGTTGCTGTTGCTATTGCATGTGTGGATGAGGAATCTCAGCGGGAAGAGGCAGCTTGCGAGGCATGAGGGTAGGCTAGTAGAAAGAGCACAGTCTGGATTTGCTTTCCTTAAACACAGTTATAGACTTTCTCTAAGACTCGGTTTTCTCATCTGTGAAATGGGGATCATAATTCATTACTACCTACTTGATAAGTTTGTGTTGGGTTTGAACGTACAAAACAGCAAGCCCTCGATCTGTTCAGTCCGCATTCTCCCACCTCCTGCCGTGCCTGCAGAGTAGCCGGGTGGGTTGGAGAATCAAATAAGGAAGGATAGTGAGGGGATGGATGGAAAAATCACAGAAGATGGTAGTACCCTCACACTGATTGTGTCCAAAACACAGAACACAAGTTCTGCTGTCAGACCATCCAGGGTGCATTCCAGTTGTCATAAGCCCAAGTGCAAGGCACCATGTCACCATTGTCCCAAAGGATGCAATCGACCCGAACTTTGACACAATTGATTGTGGTGGTTAATCATTTGTAAACAGGCAGAAAACTGTGTTTCAAGAAAGATCCATGTCCTCTCTCCTATCTACCTGCCTTTAAGAGAACCCAAACCCTTACAAGGCAAGGCTCCTGTTCTACCTCCTCAACATGATGTACTCAAGGAGGAGCCTGCAGAGCTTAGAGAGGACAGTTACACAAGTGAATCCTGTGCTCTTTCACCTCCAGGACTTTTGCATGCCATTCCCCCTTCCAGAGTATGTGCCGCTTAGCTAAATACGACTCATTATTTACATTTTATGCTAATGTCACTTGCTCAAGAAAGCCTTCTCGGTAGATTCCCGTGGGATTCTTCCGGTCAGGCTCCACCAGGTGTCCTGGAGATCCAACCTCATCGCGCCCCCTGGTGGTTTCTCAGTGCCGCTCACCTGAGATCCTGCCCAGAGGGCGGCATCCTCAGGCTGCAGTGACAATAATAAACATATTTTTCCAGGTACAGTTCTTAGCAATTTAACAATTTCCCCATGCATCATCTTGTTTGATTTTGACAATAAGCCAAAAAACTTTGTATCTTCTTCCAAGCCTCTGAGACAGGGTTTCACAGCTGTTTCCACAGCTGATTAGAAGGAAACCTATGGTTAGATACAATTTTTTTTTTCTTTTCTGACTCCTAAACACTGTGTTTTCTAATTCTAAAGCTTTACCTTGCCCTTAGGATGTGCCAACCCTGCTTTAAGTCTATCACAGTCATCACACCACACCACACTTCTGGTCTAGCTGCTCTTACTCAGGGCTATAGATTTCATCTCTGACCATGTGAGAGCTTTTAAACTGATCACATGTCTCTTGGGCCTTTAAACTATATGTAGAAATTTGTAACTCTAGGTATATGGATACACCAACAGTTTGTTGTTTTTCCAACTTCTGTTAACTGATTTTCCAGCCTCCACCCAGTTCCACAGCCAATGCTGCTTTTCATGTTTCTGCTATGGCAGCACTTCAATCCTGGTACCTATTTTTGTATTAGTTAGCTTCTGCCGCATAACAAATAATCCCAAAATTATTTATTAAAACAATAGTCATGTATCTGCTCACAATTCCTCGGGTGATCATATGGGCCTAGGCTAAGATAGGTGCTGGCCTTGCCTTGGTTCAGCCAACTGGAAGGTCAGCAGGAGCCTGGTTGGTCCAGGATCGCCTCACTCCTCGGCCTGATGATTCGTTCTGTCAGTTAGCACTGGCCATTAGCTGAAATGATCAAGTAACTGGGCCACATGACTCCAAATAAACTGACTCAGGCTTGATCTCAGGGTAATCTAACGGTTCCAAAAAGCAGCAAGAAAAGACAAACCCCAATGTGCCAATGCTTTCCAAACCTCTGCTTGCCTGATGTTTCTTAAAGTCTTGTTGGCTGAAGCAAATGGCCAGACCCACGTGCAAGAGCCGGAGAAAGAGCTTATACCTATCAATGGGAGGAACGGCAGAGTCACATTGCAAAGGGTTATGCCGATAGTTTTGGAAGGAATTTGTGAACACTCTGCAATTTATCCCAGATATGTGTCACTTTCCGGCTGAAGCACTTAAGAGCTGGTGTGCCCTCTCCATTTCTGTTTTCTGTCCTGTGGATTTGGAAGCATGTGTTGAGAGAACAGTGTCTTATGGTGAAGGAAGCCTAAACCCCTGAGTCACTGGATGGAGAAGAGCCCATGCTGACCCATAAAGCACTTCTGTGAGTTAGAATTAAACTTTTGTTGTGCTGTGTCATTGAGATTTGGTGGTTTATGTGTTGCCGCAGCAATACTTACCCCATTCTGACCAATATACTTTTAATATACCTTACGCTGCATAAAAAATTTGATGTGTGTATACATTGTTTTCTGGGGGGTGGGGGGGGAGTCCATAACTTTCCTAAGATTCTCAAAAGCACTTAAGATTTAAAAGAAGTAGAACGAAATAAAACAATTGTTTTCAAAGATACAACTTTTTCAGCCAACATAATGATCCATCTCCTTTTGAAGATCATGTGCTGTACCATGTATCATAGTGTGAAGTATTTGGGGAGTCAGAAAGACTGAGACTGACATCTCATTTCTCCCATGAAATCGTTTATATCTTGGTCAAACTCCTTATGTCCTCTAAGCAGTAGTTGACTGAGTTTAAAATGCAGGCTTGTTGATAAAATGCTTCAACAATCATTTATTGAGCACCTACTAGATGCCAGGTACAATGCTAGGTAACTGGGTGAATATGTAATGGACCTTCCCTATGAGAGCTCACAGCTTAGAGGGGCACACACAGTAATACATCACAGCAGTACAATGTGGCAATGAAAGAGGTTTGCACCGCATAGCTTGAGCATCAGCCAAGTATGTGTGTGGCCATTGGAAAAGCATTCTCAGGAATGAGCTGACACTTAAGGGTTAAAAAGGAGTTAACAAATGAAAGGGAGGGCATGTGGCATTGCAGAGAGAGGGGTCAGCAAAGTCATGATCCAAAGGTGAGGAAGCTCACTGGGTCTCCGGGGACCATAAGCCATTCAGTGTTGCTGTAGCACAGAGATCAGCACGAGCAGTGGAAAGAAATGAAACAGGAGAGGCAGGCAGGAGCCGTATCAGGTAGAGCCTGATGAGCATGCTAAGGACATGGATTTTATCCAAACTGCAAGAGAAGCTATTGAATGGTGTTAGGAGGGGAAGAAAGGGGACTGCTTTCTTTGAGAGATTACTCTTGCTACAGTGTAGAGAATGGATTTGAGGGAGGCAGATTGGAGCCGGGAGACCTGTTAGAGGCTGTCCTAATAGTCCGCTGAGAGATGATGCAGGCCTGAATTAGGGCAGTGGTAGCAGAAGAGAGAGTAGAGATGGAGGCATAAACATAATACCTGTCTTATGTCATTGAAGGAAGAAAATGACATACTTTCAGTGAAGAGTGATAGACTTTATACATGACACAGCTCTGTGCAAAGGTGGAATTATTATGACTGAGATTATGGTTCTCTACTAAAGAAAGTATATTAAGTCCCCAGGGCTGAGTCTCGCAGCTGTTCAGAGTGACACCCCCCTACACAGCACACATTTTCCTCTATCACCCACAGTCCCATGGATTACGGCATGGGCTTGTCCACCTTCAGGTGAGCTCCTTGTCTTCCGGGCTCACCTTCTCTGGATCCTGGAAGACAGAATCTATCTCCCTCCTATTGTTCTAGAGCCTTAATCAGTGTCTGGGAAATGCCAGTGTCTACTGTTTTCACTGTAGATTTCTCTTGTGGCCTGGGGAACCTGATTTTAAAAAGTCCTTAGCGGACTGCTGTGATAACTACATCACCCAAGGCGGTTATGCATATTGGAATGCCTTATCCTTCGCATGGGTATTATCA